ACACTTTTTAGTGAAATATAGGTGTCCTAATAGTGTTTTTAGCAGTGTGGGACACATACGACTGCCAACAGCTCAAAAAATGTGTTTTGGTGTTTCGTGACCCTTTAAATACCATACAAAAAGCAGACACACTGCCTGTAAGTTCAACAACACAAGGCAAACAACAAGGTTCTTCAAATGACAGAAGTTAGAAGTTAAATTGTACCCAATAGCTCAATAAACTTTTCACAACACACAGGTCAATACCCCAAAAAATATGCAACAAACACAAGTCTGAAGCAGGGCAGCACACTCAAGCTGATAAGCACCACCTGGGCCTCGTCTCATCACCACCATCTCGTCTTAGAAAGAGTGGGACAGAGAGGAAAAGAAAAACATAACATAACCACATCCAATGCGCAGTAAACACACATCAAATAAACAATAATAAATACATCCAAGGGTGTAACATTAATGACTGTTATTGCTCTAAAACTGCTTCATTGTATAAAGCTACCCAGGTAGCAAAGAATTCTGGCCCAGATTTGGCATAATGCTGGCAAAGCAGGTAATTGTCCAGCATAGGCAGAGGTGGCACACAAGTCTTGAATCAGATGTCAAATGTAGTATTTAGCACTTTATTAATCCAGGTTTGCCACAACTGAATGAACCGTCAACTTATCCAGAACGTTTTTACGCAGCGGATGCCTTTCCAGTCACAACGCATCTCTGGGAAACATCCACACACACTCATTCACACACACACACACTCATACACTACGGACAATTTAGCCTGCCCAATTCACCTGTACGGTACCGCATGTCTTTGGACTGTGGGGGAAAACAGAGCACCCGGAGGAAACCCACACGATTGCAGGGAGAACATGCATACTCCACACAGAAACGCCAGCTGACCCAGATGACCTACTGCGCCACTGTGTCGCCTAACCCAGATGTTAAAAATTGATATGTGGGCCACATAATCTTGACCCACAGTTAAATTATTTTTGAGTGAATAAAAAAAAATATTTTGTGAATAAACAAAGATTATCACAGTCTCTGTGGATTTGCGGGAGATTCCTGGAACTTCCGTGAGACTTGAGATGTCTGTTGAACGACCTCCCACCCTACTCATAATTCCCTCTTTATATAGCCATATCCCTATTATATATCCATAACACACTGTGATGTAACCGGGCTTGGATCGTATCGCTTTCTCATTACAATAGATCCGCTTCAGAGTTTGTTTCAATCAAGCCGAGACCACCTCATTCAAGCGATCTCGGAGCAATTGTTTTTTGCGCTGATCTGAGCGCGATTGCTGGATTTACAAATGCCAAACGAACCATGCTAAATCTATCTATCTATCTATCTATCTATCTATCTATCTATCTATCTATCTATCTATCTATCTATCTATCTATCTATCTATCTATCTATCTATCTATCTATCTATCTGTCTGTCTGTCTGTCTGTCTGTCTGTCTGTCTGTCTGTCTGTCCGTCCGTATGTCCGTCCGTCCGTCCGTCCGTCCCTCTGTCCGTCCCTCTGTCCGTCTGTCTGTCTCTCTGTCGTTGATATTTGAAAAATGTTGGAAAGCTGTTTGATCCTTAGTATGAAAAAATACTATGGCTACCGATTTCCAACATTTTTTCAAATATCTTCTTGTGTGTTCAACAAAAGAAAAAATCATAAAGGTTTTAAGGAAAGGAAAAGGAAAAAAGTGGAGGGATTAGGCCTAAATGACAACAGAACTGTTCATATTAGATTGAGCTATCCCTTTGAAAAGTAACAGAAATGTATGCTCAAATCTAGACAATGCGGAAACTCCATCGTCAGTCACAAGCTGAAAGCAATCTTAAAATATATTCCTTGCAAATGCTGTTTTTCTAGCAATCGCAAAGATAAGCTGTGGGAAGAAAAACGTTAAACCAAAATCTCGAGGAGACCAGATGAAAATGTCATCTCTGCGCAGTCTTCGCCCTTTGAAATGGAAGGGGGATTTTTGCAGTGGGCGTAGACACAGCAGGCGGCTGCTTTCTCATTTCTCTAGGATGCGGAGACAACAGCGGCTTTTCCTGACAGGCACACCCACGCCAGCCTGAGACCCACTGTCACTTACGCTTACATGGAGTCAGCAAGCATCTGACTAATGCAGATGCTGTCATTTTGCCTTCTAGGAAGGATTCTAACCTCATTTCCTTTCTTTTTTCAATAATCCATTTAAATTATACTTTATTAAAGGAATATTTCACGCAAAAATTCAAATGTGCTCACTATTTATTCTATCACCTTCAAGTGATTCTAAACATTATGGGTTTATTTCTTCTGTTGAACACAAAAAAGTTATCCCGTAGAAAGCTGAAAACCTGTGACCATTGACTTCCATGCACTGTTAAATATTTTGGTCAATTACACAGTATTTAACTGTAATAGAGATGATTCCTTGGATTTACTCAATTTTTTTAAGTTAAGTGGTTGTCAACAATTTATTTGTGTTGAATTTAAACAAACAATTTAAGTTGAACATTATTAAACTTAATATGTTTGTTTAAATTCAACACAAATAAATTGTTTGCAACAGTTCTGCATGCAACACTTTTTCAGTGTATTTTACAGTGTATTTTACAGTAATGATTTGCAATACTGTAAATACACATGCGAGATGGCGCTGTAAATATACAGTAAATACAGTGTTTTGCTGTAATTGATTTAAAGTAAGTACTGATCCAGTAAGTTACTGTAGATTCTGCAGGAAATTGTTAACAGTATGTAAAACAAATACTATGGAAGTCAACGATTACAGGTTTCCGTATATTTCTACAAAATATCTTCTTCTGTGTTCAGCTGTAGTTAGAAACTCATAATGGTTTGGAACCACTGGAGGGTGAGTAAATGAGTAAATTTTATTTCTGCGTGAGCTATCTCTTTAATTACTCTAGTTTTGCTGTATTTTTTTGCACATTGAGGTTTATCTTCAGTTGCAGTGGTAGACTCTCACAAGGTTTTGTCCCACGCAAGGGAAAGTATTAAAAAAACATGTTGGTTGAAGGAAGGCTTTGTGGTTTTTGTTAAGGTACTAAAAGTCCCATTTTGCATGTAGAGTCAGTTGAAGGCTTTTTAACTAAATATCTGGCTTCATAAATATTCACTCAAAAAATGACATTTGCCGTTTGTTAAATCTTAATTGTTTTATGTTCAATCAACTTATATTTGTAAAAACGAAGGAGCAACAGTTTTTCTCAGTGGCTTTGGTGCATTTCTCACAACACTACATTTGCAAAACAGTTAATGCATTTCTCAAAACAATTAGTCATAGTAGCAGTTTCTCATTCCTTCCGACAAATTGCAAATGCTTTTGGACATGCAATTATTCAAACTTTAATATTAAAATAAACTCAATAATAGCTGTTGAAAAACACAAAACACTAAAAGAGACATTCTACCAGAAACATACAATTTCACTTATATAAAATGTGACAGGGTCTGACCTTTAAGCTTGTTGTCCTCCAAAATATCATATCATACAAAAACAAGCATAAATCATACAATTCAATGACAGAACACATCCTTGATCGCTTTTTTATTTTATTTTTAATCGGTAAATATGTACAAAGTTAGTACAAGAATATACATCTCACAACAGTTATGATTATGAACAAATAAAACAAAATAAAAATGAGAGAAATTATATTAGTTGTAGAATTAAAGTAAAAACAGATCTTTTTGACTCAGAGCTTAAACCCCTGTTTACAACTCTTACATTTCTGGCTAAGAAATGTGTATTACTAAAATGGTCTACTTTTTAAATTCCAACTACTTCCATGTGGATTTCTCAGTAGTCAGTCTTTCTTCCATTGGAAAAATTACCTTATCACCGTCCTCAACTACAAACATGACAAATTCAGGAGACTTTGGGAACCTGTCCAATTCTTTCTACAAAAACTCAGAAATTTTTGTTTCAAGAGAGTTCTTTTGTTTTATTTTGATTATTAAAAAAAAAAAAAAAAAAAAAAAAAATATATATATATATATATTATTTTTATACTTGCATTTGTAAGTTTTTATTTACTGCGCAGTGCTTGGAGATGGTTTGTTTATCTGATTGTCTTTGTTGTTTGTACTATTTGAAAAATCCTTCATAAAAAAGTATAAACAGATGCCAGGGGTAAAAAAAAATTACATAGGTAAGATAATAATAATAATAAAAACAACATTTATTTAATCAAAATAAATTTACATAATGCTTCCTTTCTTTTTTTTAGCTTCTCTCTTTTTAATATTACACAGTGTACTACCAGATTGTTCAATCTCCTTTATAAAATGTTTGCATCCTTGATCACTGTCAACTTCTTCGTCAAATGGTGTCACTTCGGAGCCATAAAAGTATTGCATGCATTTTATGTTAAATTTAATGCAAATGTGACAGGACTGACAGAAACATGGGGACAATTGTAATTTTTTGGTATTTTATATATGTAGTAGCCTTTTTTAATATATATAATTTAATGTTTTTAATAAATTGATGTGAATAGTAACAACTTAAACTTGCTATTTTTGAAGTATTGTTTTTCTAAATAACAGTTTTTTGACATCACAAAACTTAAAACTGTTCAATTGGGCTGAGCACAAGGACAGTGACAGCTTTGTGCATTTGTAAAGTGTTTTTAAAGAAAAATAAAAATTCTAAGAAACAAATGAATGACATATTTCTTTGCAAACAACTCACAGAAATAAACCACCAGTCCATTTCAGACATTTTTGTGATTAAATACTTTTTATTCACTGTATTTTTAAATTTATTTCAGGGACAAATAATGTACGCTTCTGGCAGAATGTCACATATGCTGTTTTACTCAATCTAAAAACATACGAAAGTTGGCGGTTCATTTCGCTGTGGCAAACTGATGAATAAAGAGCAAAAGGAAAATGAATGAATGAATGAATGAATGAATGAATGAATGAATGAATGAAAACACACGAATTAGATAAATTACACATTTGTTTACTTTCAAACCTTTGACTGCGGCTTAAGACCTGACTAGTCAAACGCTAAACGGCCATGCTAACTTTATCAAGCATAGTCAAGCGTCCAAATAGGCTTTAAACGTGATCACTGATGCATCTTAGTTGTTTTATAACAAAATATTAAAACATCTACACATTATGTTTAAGTAACTTCAAAAGCGAAACCGATCATTCACTCCGATACTGTTAGTCAGGTCTGGGTTACCCGAAGCCCACCGAATTTGAAACCGAAAACATTAGCTTAGCTCATGTTAGCTTAGCAGGCCAATCATTAACCTACCTAGTCTGTCTAATTCATCCATTTAAAACAAAACGTAACAAAACATGGAGAAACTGGCTGCTTTTATACTCGTTTTAACTCTACTGTGCGCTTACTGGCAAAGCGCTGAAGGAATCAGAGAATACTCATACGCAGGTAAATGATTTGAGTCACATGCTAAACAGGCAACAACAACGTAAACAAGCATCAGTAACTGTACAAAACAGTTACCCTGTGTATGTAGGATGATTCTACTGTTTTAGTTTTGAATGTAAGGAAATCACAGGCTGTAAACCCTTGTTTACCGTTTTATATAATCGCAAACTGAAGTGTGTAATGGACACAGATGTTGTCAAATGCAGTTACAGTCATATATGATGTAACGTTAATGTACATTGTGCTCGTAAAATACCTCACGATTCAGCTTTACCGTTTTATTAAAGTACGAATGTGCGAATATAAATCAGCTTTAGCTCACTTGAACTTTGGACAGTACTTAGAAAACATCGATAAAGATTGAATGGGGATTTATACAAGAAAACCTGTCTAAATTGTCTTTTTTTTCGTAAAAGGTGACTTCTGTTTTTGTAAAATGTTATTTAAGTTAGTTATCGTCCATTTTGACATTCTAAAGTAAAAGTACAGAAGTAAGAAAAAAGATTACATGTAAATAAGTCTTATAGGTGATCGTGTTTTACATTTATTTTATAAATAGCAATTAATTGCCATTTTAATGACTTCGATTATTTAGTATCCATTTAAGGATAAGTAAACATAACTGGTTTTCTGTAATCTCGTCTTGACCCTTCTAACCTCTTATTTTACACTCAGAAAATTATGTGTGCTGTTTGTTTAAACTACTTATTTACATGAGCTGAAACAACACAATTCATGAGTTCGTTGGGACAACTTAATTGTTTTATGTTCAATCCACTTAAATTTGTAAAAACTAATCCGTTAACTTAATTCCTAAATGTTGTAACAACACAGAACAATTGTGTGGAACTCAGCATTTTTTATAGAGTTAGGTTTGCAGTCTCTCTGATAGACATGTGCTGATATTGAATAATGCATGATGTTGTTATCGTGGACACTTCAAAATACCACAAGTAATAATTTTGATCTAAACTGTGAAATGGAGACAAATGTTGTCAAATGTAGTTACAGTCATATATAATATATAGTACGATGTGCTCATAAGAGTACCTCACATTAATTAAGCTATCTTAGCCTTTTTAAATTAACTTTACCGTTTTATTAAAGTCTGAATGTGTGAATATAAATCCAGCTTTAGCTCACTTGAAAATTTTATATGGACATATGCGTAGTCTCTGATACTAATTTTACACTGACAGAAAACTCATTCATTATAGGATCTTCATGTCGTCAATATTTTGGTCAATTGACATTTTTGTCAGATCGAATTTTTAGTCCATATGGTCCTATTTTTTTCTTTGTGGTTTGTTTTTATGACGACAATATGACGGCCTATTTTCTTTATTTTAAAGTGATGAAAGTAAAAAAAAAAGGTAAATATTCGACTTATTTACACTGTCAGGGCATACAAGATTAATGTGATAATTTTTTTTAATTCAATAAAACATTCAGAGTTGCAACTTTGACCCTTGGTTCATAAGATGTCAGTGGATCAACAGCTTTTGTAATGTATCTGCATGCTTTGACATGCAAAGCAAAAACCTGAGTATGGGTTCCCAAATTTCTCTGACTTTTATACAAAAGCAACAGTTGAGAACTTAATATAAAAAGTAAAATAACAGTAACTTGCATGTGCAGTTATTTTTATGTTTAAAAATAATTGGTTGCTGAAATATTTAGTTTAATATATTTACTTGAAACTATTTTAGATTTTAAATTAACATTTCAGTCTAATAGATGATTTGCTGGCAGTTTTCTCTTGTATAGCTTTTTATTTATTTCATTATCAAAATAAATCATTCAGCTGTATGTCTGTTTATCATTTTAATTAACTATGAGTCTCCAGTTTGTAAAATCAATGTTGTTTTTTTTTTTAAATGAGGAAAATACATTGCATGATTAGTACAGCTAAATGTAAGCAACCGTAAATGTGAATGTGTTGTTTTGGAAAGTGAAGATGCAGCAGTATCATTAGTGCAGTCATTAGGATGAATTCAGTCTGTGGGCAGAAGCTCTTATATAGACTTCTTTTTTGCATGTGTGGATGATTCTGTACTGTCTTTGACATGTCTTAAAATTAAAGCAGAAGTGTTATTCTGATCCTGACAGATTGCACCGATGTGAAAGGAGACAGTGCACACAGGTATTCTGGGAGTCGATGCTTCTGTTACAGCCCTGGTACAGTAATCAAATGGAAGGACATCTGGTCCACCTTCAAGGTAATGTATCATGTCCCTCTGTCCAATTAGTTACTCTTCCTGTATAGTGTTTTTTTTTGTAATTTTTTTATTATATGTGACGGGTAAATCATGGAATAAAAGGAGGGTGAGAGTTTTAAAAGGAACACTTCACTTGTTTTTTTATTTTATTATTTTTTTTACAAATGCTCTCATTTTTACAAGTCACCTAGAGTTGAACATTTGAGTATTACCATTTTTAAGTCCATTCAGTTGATCTATTGTGGGAGCACTTTTAGCTTAGCTTTACATAAAGAATTAATTGATATTAGACCATTAGCATCTCGTTCACAAAATTCAATTTAAAAACAATTTTAATTTAAATATGGCTATTAACTATACTCTCATTCTAGTGTAATAATTAAGGAACTTTGCTGCCATACCACGGCTGCACCAGGCACAATGATATCACGCAGCACTGTTATCTTGTTACTCAGCTATTTTATACCAGCAAAGTTTCTTATTTATTACGTCGCACTTAGAGTTCCTAGTTCCTAGTCATATCAACCTAGAAAATAGTAACCTTTCATTTTCTGTTAGTGTTTCTTGATGTAACTACAGAGTCAAGCTTTAAATAGGAATAATTATAAGTCTTTTGTTTTACTTTTTAATCAAGATGCTAATGGTCTAATCCGATTGAATGATTTATGCTAAGCTAAGCTAAAGGTGCTCCTGGTAGATCCGGAGATTGGCTGAAAGGATTAAAAAAAATGATGAAACTCATCTCTTTAACTGTATGGGACTTAAAAAATTGCCTATTCCCAATCATTGTAGTGATCGTTTAACTCTTTTAAATTGAGCATTGATAAAGCACAACATATTGTTTACAGGTAAACGTGTCAAGCAATGTGGACGTTGTTGTTGTGTTCCCAATGGAGACTATAAATTGCCACCATCCGGATGATCTTCTGACGGTTATGAACTGCTTTGTTGAACACTACTGGCCATCCACTGTCCAAAGGGAGACGTCTTTAGAGATTCCTCTGGTTGATGTTGATATCTGCTTCATGATCAAATCGCCTAGAAGCAATACTGAGTACACACTACACGTCTCCAACAAAAGTAAGCAACTGCTTTACTCATGTTTTATTCTTATATAGAGGACCTGGGCACTGAATCATGGTAGTTTTTTTTCTATTACAGGGTTAAACAGAATGTGTTTCCTGCTTTTCGTGTGTGGGCTGATACTGTTTTTTGGAGCCAGAAACATATGCAGGTAAGTGGCAATTTAGCATCAAGTTTTTTAATTTATTTATTAGTTATTACACCCAGCACACTTGTCTTTGCACATTGCACATTAATTTGAGATGAGATAGTTTATCATTAAAATGACTACATTTAAAGGAAATGTGCACCACAAATTATAATTATGTAATTATTTATTTACCCTCAAAAGTGGAACAAAAAACTCTTGTATGATTGTGCAACATCTCTATCTCTATTGGAGGTGTCAGTATGGTTAAAAACACTATAGTATTTAATATAAATGACTTCAGTATATTTTCATTTGGGTGTCTGACAACTGAAAATAGGTCTAGTAGAAGATATCACAGCCTCTGTTACGTTTCACCTTGCATTTTTTGTTAAGATTTTATTATTATTTATTTAGGATCTGCGTTTTCAACTTCTGATTCCAATGCCTATTTATTTAATTGTTAATAATTAAATGAAACTCTTCGGAAAAGTGTACTTGCATTGTGATGATAATACATTGTCTTTCTGGCATTAGATTAATGAGTGACATGAAATGTCTTAAAATGACAATATTATCTATTATCGCAATATATTTTGGTGCATTATATAGTACAACAAAAAATAGATATTGTTACCCGCTTGAAACTTTAAAAGAGACAGAAAAAAGAAAGCAAGTAAAAAGCTGTCTGATTGTGTATTTGAAGCCACAAGATAAGAAAATGTTAGAAACAAGTTTTGATAAGAAAATGTAAACGTGTATCTACATCTAAATGCAAAATATGCCACCTCAGTATCAAGTAATATCTGCTTGTGCTTTCTGGATGTATTTGTAATTGAGCAATTCCGTGCAAATGTCAACCTTGCCATGAAAAAAATGAATTTTTTACCAAATTACACAAAAAACCCAGAAACAGTTTCTGTAAGCAGGTATTTTACTGTACTTTAAAAATACTCATAAATGTATCTGTCAGTGTTTCAAACTATTCTTTTTAATTTGCCAAAATAACACAAGTGGCAATTTCACAGCTGTCACATCCATAACAGAAAAGTGTCACATCCATAACAGCACTTTTTTCCTCATAAATGTGAACATATTAAATTAAATAAAACCAATATTTTTTGTTCTAAAGAGAGCCAACTCTTATCTTTTTAATTAGCATTGTTTCTTTTGGGTTGTGTAGTTCAATTCACAGAAATTCTACAAAGTATGCTGTATACTGTAATCTTGCAGACTTTTTTTGTCACATTCATAACGCATGTTTATTTTCCTCATTTAAAATATAATAAATGTTTGCAGGTTGATATTTTTCTGGTCCCTTAACTCTGCGGGCAGTTGTTTTGGAAAATATAAACAAAAGTTTCATTATAATGTTAAAATATGCTTTGTATGCGAATTTATGTTTTGAAATTTTACTGCAAATGTCAAATCCATAATGCTGCAATTGCTCAAATATTTTTTTCTCATTTTTATTTAGTTTATTTTTTACAATACAGAACAATAATTTAACAGAAAAAAACATGCCAACATAAATCATTACATACATACATACATACCTACATACACACATACATGCATACATACATACATACATACATACACATCAATATGCTCATACATTATTTTTATTCATTCATTTATTTATTTATTTGTTTATTTATTTATTTTACATTTAGGTTTGCTTGGCTTCAAAGTTAATGTAAAAAAGTTCCAAGATTTTAGTTATTTAGTAGTATCTGTTTGTAGTATGTATATACTCACCGACCACTTTATTAGGTACACCTTACGGTTACCGGGTTGGACCCCCTTTTGCCTTCAGAACTGCCTTAATCCTTTATGGCATAGATTCAGCAAGGTACTGGAAATATTCCTCAGAGATTTTGGTCCATATTAACATGATAGCATCATGCAGTTGTTGCAGATTTGTCGGCTGCATGATGCAAATCTATTGTTCCACCACATCCCAAAGGTGCTCTATTGGATTGAGCTCTGGTGACTGTGGAGGCCATTGAGTACAGTAAACTCATTTTCATGTTTAAGAAACGCTTTATAACATGATGTGTTATCCTGTTGGAAGTAGCCATCAGAAGATAAGTACACTCTGGATCATGCCACATTGAAAGTCACTTAAATCAACTTTCTTCCCCCTTTTGATGCTCAGTTTGAACTGCAGCAGATCGTCTTGACCATGTCTACATGCCTATATGCATTGATTTGATGCCATGCTGTTTAGAAATTTGCGTTAACGAGCAGTTGGACAGGTGTACCTAATAAAGTGGCCAGTGAGTGTATATGTTCACACATACACAGATATAAATATCAAGCAAGCCAACTTAACAGTTTACACAAGTGTAATAGTTTATTGACAAACCAGCCCAAAATGTATGTGACGGGCCTAATGTGGACTACTTTATGTAGTGCTTATTGTTCAGTTTTTATTTTTTGCTGTGCTCACAAATTTATTGTGCAAACTCTTGAGAGCATTGCTTAAAATCTCTCCCTTTGTATTTCATGTGGGAAAGAGTAACAGCATGTAGACTGTGATCAAAACGAGAGTGAGTAAATAATGACAGACTTTACATTTGTGGTTGAAACCTATTCATCTGACTCAATCTTCATATTTTCCAGGAGCTCACTGTTTTTTTACACCACCGGGGTTTCGCTAGGAATCATTGCCACATTTGTCTTCCTCACGCTCTTGCTCCGCAACTTCGTACCAAAGGTGTGTAATGCTTGCGTCACAACTTTTATCCTGATCGCACACAGTATCTTGTTTCCTTACTGATCAAACATGTTGGATGAGTAGTTTGAGCTTAAGCATGCCATTCTGACTGCTGATGTGATTAAATATAAAGAGAGGTGGAGACACAAGCAGCCCTAGGGATATATCAGAAATGTGCAGTCAATTGCAAATATATTTGCAGTGCATTCACGAGAGCTGTGTTTAAAACCACTCCCTGACCATTGTATAGTGTAGATGTGTGCCGTTTTGTAGCAGTGTCTAAGTTTTGATTAAACCTCTTCATTCTCTACATCCATTCACTATGTTTCTATCTCATTTTGAGTTGACCATTTCCTAAATTCCGTTACAAGGTGGTGAAAAAAAGTGTATGACTGGATGCTGCAAATCTCATTCATAATTTAGACCATGATTACCTTTGGAATCAGCGAAATTAGATTATAATATATGTTCATACACTAGTGTGGGTTCTTGTTACCATTATACTATATTATTTTATTAATTTATTTTATTTATTCTAGTTGTCACTGACTCTAAACGTTATTGCTTTGAGGTTTAAATGATCAATATTTGATTTTAGAGCTATTATTCGCCCAATAATTTGTTTGAAACATCAGTTAATATGTTGTTATTTCCTTATTATTATTATTATTATTATTATTATTATTTTATTCTTATTCTCATTATTTATTTTTTTAATTATTATTATTTTTATTATTATTTACTTTGTTATACAGTTCACAGCATAAATGAGTACACCCCTTTAAAAATGCATATTTATATCTATTTCTCAGTGAATATAGACAATATTTATATTGGTGCACTTTTTAAAAACAGTTTTATCAAAGTAAAATTAGAGTTTGGTCATCTAAAATGGAAGGATAACACATTTAAAGGAAACCTATCATGCCTATTTTTACAAGATGTAAACTTCAGCTCAAACTGCCCCACAAGTTTTTTTTTACAACTCCTTTAAAATGCCCCTTTTATGCTTTGTTCCAAATTGTGTCATTTTGGTCACTGTCATTTTACATTTAAATGAGATTGTGCTTCCATCTCTCTTTTCAAAAGAGGGTGGAGCTACAAACACTAATGCATCAGCACAGTGCTAGATTTAAACAGGATCTCTGTGAAAAACTGAAAATATCTTAAACTGAAACAAATTGTCTTAAAAGAAGGCAGTTTATGGAGACTACAGTGTTAATTTGTGCATCCTCAAACTCCACAATTATAATGTCTCTTAGTTGATGACTCTTTCTTCGGGTGGTATTATGTAAAAACTGTAATGGTGGAAGGCTGGTTCTCATTCAGGTCTGTCTATGCTAATGAGGGAGAGATCATCTCTAATGGGAGGGACTTTTCCCCTCTAATGACATGTACAAAGGGAGAATGTTTCTGCATGCTGTTTTTATCTAGTGTGATTATATGAAAAAAATAAAATAATAAAATTTTTACCATTAGAGGCTGGCTATATTCACACTATTGCCACACAACAGTGTTGAAAACTCTTATAAAAGGGATTATTGCACAGTAGACCCCCTTTAGATTCAAGTGAGGTATTGCAAAAAATTTTAATTACAAAATGTAAAAATCTTTTGCTTTCTTATTAAAATTGTATTTGATATTTTGCAAATAAAATTTAATTGGAGTGTTCAAATATTTGCACTGTCAGTTATTTTGCTAGATTAGTTCCAGTTTTAGCTTTTGTACTGACTAATCTAACATATATAGACTTATTGTATAGCATCCATCCTGTAGAAAATATACATTTTAAAAGATGAATTTTTAAGGGGTGTGTATTAATTTATGTCAGACATTATTAATATGTATTTTCATATTTATGATCAAATAAATGTGAAAATTGTGTGTATTTTTATATTATAAAAAGTAACAAGCATTACACACATATGTTCTTACATTTCTCTTTATCAAATTATACCATAAAAGTGACAAATCAACGGTGAAAGTCAAAATATAAACCTAAAAAGGATATTTCACATGATTGTAGATGTAACGTTCTCTGGCTCATGCTTAAGCCCAATCCCAATTCTACCCCTGAGCCCTTCCCCTCATCCCTACCTCTTGTTTTGCGTGTTCATGTGAAGGGGTTGGGGTTTCCCTATTGTGTTTAGCTTGAAGGCGTAGGGCTAAGGGGAAGGGCTAGATAGCCCTTAAAACAGAGATTTTTCAGGACCACACTCGAAACCAACGGATAAGAAAATTTCCCAGAATATATCAGCTACAACAGCAAAATGGCTGCACACGGGATTAAAGAGATGCACAAATTAGTATTATTTTTTGTGATTATTATGAATTTTTACTACAGACAAGCACATGTTTTGATACATTTATAGCGGCGATTGTGTTTTACGGTCATGCTTTAAAAAAATGCTAAAATAAAAAAAAATAAAAAATTCGCTACCTATAATCCATATTAATAACAACAACAACTCTTGTATAGTAGTCAAACCACATTTTGACACTCGATAACACTGGAATACCCTGTCAGAAAGTCAAGTGGCTGGGAATGACCTTTTTACAGTGTCTGCTATAATGTTAGTGTTGTTTTGGTGGGTTTACATTAGGGGTGTCAAAATTAATTGTTTCTTCGGTGCACCGTGATGCAGACGCAGACATCTGGTATCGATTCAGTAATAACCATAACCGGTTATTATGTCGTGACAACATTTATCTCGTATGCGCTCTGTCGCGAGGGAGGTGAGCGCCGTTATTTACAACACTCGGCCAACTCAGGGATGGCCCGTGGCATAGGCACCATAGGCAAATGCTTAGGGCGCTGTATGTCCAGTGGGGCGCCAGAAATGAGCGCGCTTCAGTTGGTTTTGTTTTCGATTTTCCTGACACACATTCAGTTATAGACGGCAATAACTCAAAAAACGCTTACCCTAAAAAGATCCAAAGTGTGTTTCCTACAGAAAGACAAAGCTGGTTATGTTTCACAGCTGTCTTTCTTTTTTTTTCGCTCGACATTACGAGCACTGCTCCGTTTACTTTAGCCGGCAGAGCTCGCGCTGAGAGGAGCTCTCTGTAAGGGACCGTGGGAAAAGTGCTTATTTTTTTTTCGTTTTTCTGCTCCGCTCAGCGTGAGCTCTCCCTGTTGCAAGGGCTTAAGTGTGTTTGTGTGTGTGTGTGTGTGCATGTGTGTGTTTGTTTGTTTGATGCTGTCAATGTTTGTGAATGTGTTTGAATGAGAGGCAGTGTGTTGCTGTGTGTCTGTGTGTTTATACAGACAGCATGTTATAGCCTCCCCCCTAAAATATAACACCATATATGGAAAGCATCGTCAATGCACCGTGATGCACCGAGATATCGAATTGAACCGAATCGATGGCATGATAATCGTAACCGAACCGAACCGTGAGACCAGTATAGGTTTACACCTCTAGTTTACATAGATGAATAGGGCCACTGTGTTAAATGAATAATACAGTTACGATTTTATTGCAACAATATATCGTTGTGATAATATGATATAAGCCTTCAGTGATTACCTGAAGACAAATACCAAAAAATAGCACCACTGGAATAACTACAGCAGTCACGATCGTCAATCTCTTATGAAGCAAGAGATAACAATGACATATGATGATGTGTGCAGGTCCTTTTATTGCTGTCCTAATCCCTAGGTGTAAATTTTGAAGCCCTTCTCCTTCACACTCTGTTTCAAGGGACAAGGGGAAGAGGTAGGGTTAAGGGTACAAAAATAGAAATGGGATTGGGCCTATTTAGTTCCCTCTTTCCTAATATAGTCCAATCAGCCGCCATACACTATGTAGGGCAGTGTTTCTCAACCACTTTCCTGGAGGTCTCCTTAACCAAACACACCTGATTCAGATCATCAGCTCATTAGCAGAGACTGAAAGACCTGTAATGGGTGTGACAGACACAGGAGACATCCAAAACATGCAGTGCTGGTGGTTCTCCAGGAACGTGGTTGAGAAACACTGATGTAGGGTTTAGCGAATGAGTGAACAAGTGAACGATTTCAAACACATCTCTGCTTTTTCGCACCAGCGAGGGCTGTTCCTTGTGCTGCTGGGCGCTGGCTCCGGTCTGTCCTACATGGGGATCCAGAGGGTGTTAAATGAATGGGACGACATCGTGACTGAGCACTGGATGGAATTACTGGGTAACTAGGCAACCTTTCTGTTATAACCCATCTTGCTCTGTTTTTCTTTGCAATCATCTCATCATCCAATTACACCAGACAGTAAGCCTTCGCTAATGTTAATAAATGGTCTTTCAAACGTACCTTATGTACAATCGTGCATGTCAGCCGAATGCCACGTGTTGTCTGTTAATTTGCTTGACGTGTTCTTTCTACAATAGAATAATTACTGCGCATGTCGTTTAGTCAGATTATCCCTCCACTCTCTCGCTGGACGTTTCATCAGCGCTCCAGCATTGCGTAGTAACAGTCTGGAGCAGATTGAGATTCACCTTTTGTATCGTATATCTTGGCTCAGTTAGTGTTATAATATGAGGGCCAAGTATTTCGAAATGCTGAAACGACTGCCTCTTGACTGCTCAATAGACTCTATTCTCTGCCAAATCAATTTCCCTCTTCAAGCACTCGCAGTATGTAAATGCATCAGTGTTTGAATGCGAGAACCACAGGCATATTAAGATTAAGGGAAAGAAGCCGCAGTACCGCTGGAACATTGATTTCTATGCCTAAACAAAAAGGCTCTGGGAGGATTACAGCCTCGGGAGTGTGTCTGCTTAGATCCTTTTATTTCTTTTTTGTTTTTTCGTTCATTCTTTCTTTCTTTCGTTGTTTTTAGAGAGCTACAGTAACATTAATAAAATGGTTAACTCAATAATTAAGATTTTGTCATTTGCTGAGGAGCCGTTTACATGACAGCTAGGCCTGTCACAATAATCAATATATCGACTTATCATGAAATATTTGTACATGACCTCAATTACCTCACAAATAACGTTAAAGACATTTTACAAGGACATTGATAATTGACCTCACCGATGTCAGTTAATAATTAGTGGTTTACTTAATAGTACATTTAATAGGATATTTACATAATTTTGACATCAAATTACAAAATCAATATAACCTTAACAATCAAAGGCCTTAGTTCCTTGAAAGTGTTTATGGCTATTTGCGCTGTTTTGCTGTTATTATTCTATAATCAGTGATCTATAATGTCAATAAAATCGCTTATCGCAACAATTTCTGTGAAAATATATCACAATTTTTTTTTATCGTGACAGGCCTCATAACAACCTTTTCAGCCAAAAACTGGAAACTTTTTGTATTTACAAAAACTCTGTATTTTCACCTGTAAACAATTGTCATATGTGTGCAGAGTGTAGAGCACAATTGCGAACAAACACACAAAGTGGCGGAGTATGTGGCAGCGTTTTTGTTGCTTAACTGTTTGCTAAAGCTTCATCTGCAAAGTGTAGATTTACTTCACATTACAGCCAACAGCCGAGATGCATCTTACACACACAACAAATTCTATATATCAATGTTGAGCCGCCAACTACTAGTTGTCACTTGCCTACAGATATTGGTTACTAACAAGGTAACAGCGCTAAAAACTGGGCTGACATGTAATACAGTTTTTTAACCATTTTCATTGACGTGTAAACAAGTGAAGTAAAAGTTGTGATGTGGACAACACATGCTCTGTGAACAGACACCTGGAGCAGTGGCTCATTTTGAACGTGGATTATTTTGAAAATGTCATGTGAACGTGGATCTCTTTTACAATGCAAGGGAAAAACATTTCCGTTTTTGTCTGCATTGTTGTCATGTAAACGTAACATTGTTAGTCGAATGCTCCCAAACTTATTCTTCCAAATAGTTGAGTTTTTATTTATTTTCATATGATTCCACATAATAAAAACTTTGTCAAGTGCAAAATTAAAACAAACGAACAACTAAATAAATAATGGAAGCTACATAAAAATGAGCAAAATGACAGTGTAACAAAGCCATGGACTATGAGGAATTATTTTTAGTGATAAATGATTACAAAATTGGTGCATTGACACTGTATGTCAGCATTGACTCTAAAATGTATAGCTTTGTGGTTTTTAAATTGTCAATATTAGATTTTTTTTTCTTCAGATTTTTAGTAAAGAGTGTTTTTTTTGTACTGAATGTAATGCATGTTTGTATCGGTTGCCGTATCAGATAATAACTTTTTTTTATATAAGCCCAGTTGTCAGCCTGAAATATTACAGCTAATATATTATTATTTACTTTTAATTTCTTATTATCCTTTTTTATTATTTAAATGTTTAATGATTATTTTGAGAAAGAAACTTTACTTGCAGTTTTTTTGTTTAAAATAAAATCAGCTCTCCACTGTATTGTTTTGCACTTTGCTTTTGAAATAAGGGTTTAAGGAGAAAAGATCAGGATTAAAACATTTAGAAATATTTAAATATAAAGATTTATCAGTCATCATATCAGCAAGAATTTCATATTTGTGCATTCAAAGATATTGTATTGCTTTAAAAGACCTCGAATATAGTGTGCTTTTCTGGTCACACTTTACAAAAATGTTTTATTAGTTAATGTAACATGACCTAATACTTGTACACCATTTGTTAATCATAATTTGGATTTTAACACCCAATTTCATGCTTGATAACAGTAGTTAATGCATCATAGTTAACATGAACTAACAATGAACTACTGTATGTTCATTAACTGACGTTAACTAACATGAACAAAATACTGTAACAAATGTATTGTATATTGTTTCTTCATGTTAGTAAATGCATTAACATTAACTAATACAAAAGTATTAGCTAAAGTGTTACCACTTTTCTTATGTGTTTGCCTTTTTTGTAGTTCGATAGATCCATTCCCCATCCATTACTTGGAAAACACAGGCAGGATATTTTTCAGGAAACTTTTGTTTTAAGAAAAGTCATATACACAGTTTATTCAAAAGATTAATATTATTAAGATTAATAGACTTGATATTACTTTAGGGTGTCCACGGGGTCTTAAAAAGTCTTAAATATGAAAAACCAAATTTTAGGCCTTAAAAAAAGTCTTAAATTCACTGAAATATTATCTCGTAGGTCTTAAATCATTTTAGCCAGGTCTTTATTTTCCTCTGTCCAAGTAAAGCTACCCAATCGGGACAACATCCATTCAATCACCTAATATCCATCTCAATAAAACTTTTTTTTTTTTTTTTTAATATTTAGGATTTTTTTTGCAAAGAGAGTTTATTTACAATTTTTACAGCAATTTCTCTAAATTAAATTCCTTTATCATGGAAAGAAAACTAAAAACAATTACACAGTTCCTCATGATAATAAAAGAGCAACATACCACTTTACATGATACATTATTCTCAATAAATTTAGACTAAAAGCCAACAAATATATATTTTGATTACTTATGTCTTTGCTCTATAATAATATCTTTTTTAACAATGTTAAACTTGTCATTTAAAAAAAGTAAAAAAAATAATTAAAAAATGATCTTAAAGTGTATTCAACTAGAGTTTTCTTGTTTTGACACATTCAAATATGTCGCTAAGAAATAATAAAAACAAAAATTGTGGAAACCGACTGGGCCAATAGAAAAAAACATTAGTGTTTAGCCCTGCATAAGTCTAGATTTTAATTCATAATGGTCTTAAATGGGTCTTAAAAAGTCTTCAATTTGACTTGATTAAACCTGCAGAAACCCTGTACTCTAAACAATTTTTTCCCGTTCTTTAGAATTGTTCTATAAAAAAAATAATAATCTTAGAAGCTGTGTATTTTGATTTTCCACAAAGAAACAGTACATCTGTTTTCAACTGATAATAATAAATGTTCTTTAAGTGCCAAATCAATACAAAAGGATCATGTGTAGGATTGTGTGACACTGAAGACTACAGTGATGGCTCTACTTTATTGCTGTGTTGCAGCTGTAGCCCATAATGTTTGCTTAGTCACTGTAAGCTTGGAAATTACATCACATGACAACTTGAATTTAAAGGAGTAGTTAACTAAAAAATAAATATTCAGAGAATGTATTGCACAGTTGCTTCAGCACGTATAGATCTATTGTGAGCATGCTTTGTTTGAACACATTATTACTGTTGGTTTGTGGGCTGTACAAGAATGACAGACAAGCTCAGGCAAGCTTCTTTTATCCGCTACAAATTGGCTATGCTTTTTGCATTGTTCCATGTATGTATGCTTGCGTGCAATGTGAATGATAATACCAAACTTGACCTTTAAAATGATTTAGAGACTTTGCTCTTTCTTTGCAGCTTATGTGCTGATATCGGGTTTATTTAGCTTTGCCGTGTGCTATAAACACGGTCCCATCACCAACAAACACACCCTCAACTTCATGACCTGCTCGATGCAAGCAGTAGGCATAGTGTTGCTTTACTACGGGATCACATTCCCTCCTGCTTACTTTGTACTTGTCGCTGTCCTGTTGTGCTGGAAGATTCTGCCCTTGGCCTGGAGCCTTCTGATGGGGATTTGCAGGTAAGGAAAGCACCACGAATTGGGTTTAAGATTTTTGAGTAAAATATGATTGTTATTGATACAAAGAAATTCGGACATAACTTTAATTTGCGAGGCAGATAAAATGGTTGTTTCAGAGGTAAAAATCATGTTTGCCAGTTAATTCTTAGGTTAGAAATGTGTAGCATTGGCAGTTTGATTTGTGACCACTGAAAGGGGCTGTATGAGAATCCAGAGAAACTCAACATTTGCAAATGGTCTCTTAGCTTACTCTATCGCTTCTATCTGAAATGTTTGTATGTATTAAGTGACTCTTTCTGCCTTCAGTCTCTTCTACTCTTTCCTGGCTTTATTCCGGAGGAGGAGACGGCCCACTGTAAGGCTGCTGACTGAGGAAGAGTACAGAGAGCAGGGAGAGATCCACACCAGAGCCTCTCTGGATGAGCTGCGGGAATACTGTAACAGACCTGGCTTTCCTGCATGGGAAACAGTGCTGAGGCTCAGATCCCCACAAAGGTAATTCATTTATTTAAATCGAAATAAACATATTTAAGCTGAACATATCAGAGTTTTAAGGATGTTGTGGCTTGTGTCACAATGCAAAGTTTCCTTTACTCTGATTAATACATATTATGGCAAGACATTGCAAGTGAGAATAGAAATGAAATAAAACAACAACAACAACTAGCATTTATCACCATGCTTTCACAGTTTATTACATTAAAAATTAAAAAAATGTTTTGTATTAGAATTTGATATTCAAATATGCAGCTGAGGCATTATTCAATGATTACAACCTAATTTTTTATATATTTCTAGCACACAAATTTCTAAATCGGGTGAAAATAGGATGAAGCCAGAATAAAAATAAATTTTTATCACATCATAATTCATTCATTCATAAGTTCATTTTATTTTGGCTAAGTCCCTTTATTAATCAGTGGTCGCCACAGCTGAATGAACTCATTTTGCATATGTTTTACGCAGCGAATGCCCTTTCAGCCTTAACTCATGACTGGGAAACACCCATACACACTCTTGCATTCACTCACATACACTACGGTCAATTTAGCTACCCAATTCATCTCTACTGCTTGTCTTTGGACTGTGAGGGAAATCGAAGCACCCGGAAGAAACCCATGCGAACACGGGGAGAACATGCAAACTCCACACAGAAATGCCAACTAACCCAGCCAAGGCTCGAACCAGCAACCTTTTTGCTGTGATTGTGCTACCCACTGTGATGCCTCTCCATAATTCATTGTATTTATATATATTTTTTCAAAATCTTGCATTTTAAAAAAGTATTTTTTAACGTGAGTTTTAAAATCTTAGAGTTTTATCTTATTTTAAATATAATTCATTGTTGTTTTTGTTGACTTTTTATTGTGAAAAACCTATTTAGGATCGAAAAAATGCTGTTTATAAAATGTTTGTAAATTTGATCAGTTTTTGCCATGAAATAGCCATTGAAGCTGATATGGCAATAAACTAAAAATTTATAGCTCAGAAAATAATGCAAACAGCCATTTTAAAAAAATCAATTAAAAAAAATAAAATGTGTATAATCTTGCAAATTATGAATGAACCAATTGCTCTGTAAAACAGAATGTAGACTCAGAATAAAGATAATGAATCATGCTGTAAAGTTTATGTTAAAGTGTATGCAAGTTCTCCTCGGTAGGATTGCACCAGCTTTTAGTAAGTTCTTTCTAATACTGGAACGTAAAGTCCATACTAGGGGCTTAGTAACTACTAGCTAGATTGTAACTAAATGTGTTCTTACTTTGGTTGCACCGCATGTTCTTAGGGAAAACTGTAGTTAGTAGGTTGTAAGCTCTCCATGAAGTTATGCATAGTCTCATTGAATGACGTAATATCCAATAAGAAGCATTTAAATTGTTTAACTGCTTTAAAATTCTGCACTAATGCATTTATATAGAACTGTCCGATGAAAATGAAATGACAAATGACATTTTTATAGCACATTAAATTACAGTCAGTCACTGATAACAGACGACTCACACACCTGCATTGCGAACTGAAAGAGAAACACGTGAAAGAGAAAAGAGCAGAGAGAAGAACTCAGTCATCAGGAAATTGTCATTTTAATCGGTGGACACAATTAACACAAAACACGCCTTGAAAAAATTAAACTCTTTTTTCACAAACTGAAACAAATGCGAGATTTGGGAGGAAAATGAGGCTGTGAGTAGAGGGAGATCATTCTTCATTATCATCGAGAGCTCCTTAATGTAAATTAAACTCGCAGTCATCTCTTTATACCGTTATACATGGAGGGATGCTGCCATAACTATTTAGTTGGAACCTAGCGCCAAGTTTAAACTAAGTTCAGTGGTGCAACACAAAAATATTTAGTAGTGTGTAAGTTGTGATTTAGTGTCCCTTTGAGTCACAACTAGGCTACGCTTTATCATGCGCACTGCTGTTTTAACCGTCTCCAGGTGTTTGGTGGTCCTTCAGGAACGTGGTTGAGAAACACTGGTATAAAGGATGTTGTGGATTTTGTCACAATGCAAAGTTTCCTTTATTAAGTTTGATACACATTATGGCAAGACATTGCAAGTGAGAATAGAAATAAAATTAAAAATTAACTAGTATTCATCACTATACTTCAGCAGTTTATTTATTAGATTAAGAATGCCAAAAATGTTTGCCATTACAAGTTTAAGTATTAGAATAGTGTGCTGAAATATGTAGATGAGGCATAATTTAATGAAATATGAGTCTATTTTGCACACATTTCTGACACAAAATCAGAAAATAGGATAAAATATGATAAAGCCACATAATTCAGAAAACATTGCAAACAACCATTAAAAATGTGGAAGGATTTTTTTGCATTTTATGTTTGAACAAATACTTCTCTAAAAACCTTTAGGATACAGATAAGTATAAAATTGTTAAGTTTGGTGTAAGTCTGAATTAGAGATGTATGACTGAGTGCAAGATAGGAAAAAATCATTTTGAGAAAACAGCCTTTAATATATATATATATATATATATATATATATATATATATATATATATATATATATATATATATATATATATATATATATATAGCAATTGGAATCTACAGACACAAATTGATAACGTTGTACTTGAAAATGATTTTTACATCATACCAAAACTCAATCAAATTTTCTTTTCGGTTTCCCTATTATGTAACAGATGTAAGAGCTCAGGGCGAACATATGCTCATACTTTTTGGTTTTGCACTGAGATCTCAAATAATATTTTTCAGTTTTATTCAAATGTTTTAGGAGAAAACATTAGTCCAGATATTGAATTAGCCTTGTTTGGATGCTCTGACCCTGTGTTAGCGCGGTCATATAATCAGCAAATGTCTATTGTGTTTGGTATGGTAGTGGCTACAAAGGTGATCTTGATGGAATGGAAGTCTATTTTACCACCTCCTTTTCATAAATGGCTGACTGAAATGGATGCTGCTCTTAAGCTTGAAAGTATTTGTTTTGCTAGGGCGGATTCTCCTAAAAAGTTATAAAAATCTGGGTCCTAGTCCTTGCTTATCTTTTAAAGAGTTGAAAGTAGGGCACTTATGATTCATGGACAATTTTACTCTTACTTTTTCACTCCATTCTCAATGTTTTGAGTTTGACCAAGTAAAACTTCATGGTGTATATTATTTACTCTACATGGTGCATGTTTTTATTATTATTATATATATATATTTTAAATTAATTTACTTATTTAATTTTTTTTTGTATTTTCTTTCTTATTTGTTATCATTTGTATAAAAATATTATAGACCGTATAAATGTTTTTTGTTCTGTTTTGTGCTGATAAAAACTGTTAAACATGAAATAATGGAGGCCAGCTAGCCAAGTGCTATGCAGGTAAACCTCATTCCTCTGATCTCTAAAGGTGCTGTAGCGACAGACGCTAGAAACCATAGTCTTTAGTCTACTTGTTAGAGTTACCAACTCCCATGCAAAGAATCGTCAGTTCGATCCCAACTCAGACCGGATTGGGTGACACGTGGGAGCTGGTCCAGAATGGGAGTGAGGTTTAGGAGGTTGAGTGTAACAGAGGCCAGCTAGCGAAGTTGGGTGCAGTAGGACCGGTGGGTACATGTATATAAAAAAAGAAATATATTTACAAAAAAAGAGAGAAGAGTGCATTTGGGATGTTTTCTTGATATTAGATAGAAAAAAAACACTATGAAAAAACTAAATAATAAAAAGTGTTTTTGCCTGCAGTGTCTTGTCTTGAAAATAATAATATAAAAAGTGATTCTGCAATTTTAAGTAGATTGTAAATGAAGGGGAAAAATTCTTTATAGCCTTTATGTCTAACATTTTAGTAGTCATTCCTCACCCGTTGTTTCCCGCCTCTTCCAGGTTTGCAGAGTTTCTCCGTCAAGGCAGTCACATCACTCAAGAGGAGCATCAGAACCATGAGAATCATTACGGCCTTGGCGGTGCCTATTATGAGAATGTGATCTTCAACAACAGCAGCTCCAGCGACACTCAGTCACACAGAGAAGAAGCAGAGGACAATAGTGAAGACGAGATAGTTGGAAACAGTCCTCCAGTCCTAAATAACCTCCCCAGTCCAACTATATACCCTCCAACCATCTGTCCATATCCTCCTGTCACCTACACCCCTCAGCCAGAACCCCTGGATCCAGAAGACCAGGACTTCTTTTGAAACTCAGCCAGGATAAGTCATTTTATGCTTATTTTAAAGAGACACTTTAAATTGCACAATATTATAAGGAAGAAATGACTCTAAGGAACATTAGCAGGTCTATAAGGATTGTAAAAATCTCTTGTTTGTGTGTTTTAATGATCTCTTTCTGCCAGCGTGGGCTGTTATTATATATATTTTTAAGTTCTTATACCCGAGTGATGCAGAGCTGGGAGTAAAGTAACAGCGTATTGTACATATTGTATGCTAATAGTGTGTGAGCAGATGGTGACTCTCAGGTATACAAGCTCATCATTTCAGTCAATAATCTTTTTCCTCAACTGTTCCAGAGCAGTGTTTTCCAACCCTATTCCTGGAGGCACACCAACAACATATGTTTTGGATGTCTTCCTTATCTGACCCATTAACTTCTGGTTTTGAAGTTGATTCAGGTGTGTTTGATTAGGGAAAGGTTGAAAATGTGTACTGTTGGTGTGCCTTCTGAAACAGGCTTGGGAAACACTGTACTAGAGAATGACTGGACATGTAGAATCATGTGGTGTAATTTAAGTAAATCATGCCCTCTAGTGTTGGCTCAGCTAAAAAAAATCTAAATCTGTGTGGCGTTCTGTCTTAAGTGGAGCACAGAAGTAGACGTTCAGTAAAATCTCCAAGCTGCTCGATATTTTAGAACTATACTATGTGGCTTATGAGCATTTGTGCGTACTATTTTAATTCTTCTCATGACATTTGATAGAAAACAAGGTCCCTATTCAGCAGAACGCATCATTGCCTTGATATAATATGGATCTGTTACTCACAAAGAAACTTTTTAGGGGCTCTTTAAACAAATCACGGTGTGTTTGACTTGCACTGGCTGGTGTCTTGAACGTGGCATTGTTCTAAAAGGGCTAAAGTTAGAATAACGAGTTTTTAAAAACATGTCTGGAGGTGTTTTTTGTCTATTTGACAGCTTACGTCGTATGTTTGTTCAACGCATTATTGATTGTGGGGCCTTTCACACTTTCTTTACACCATCTTTATGCTGATGTTTGGCCATTGTGCTCTTTTTCTGGCACATTTTGCACTGCTGTTTGACATGGTGTTTTGTAAGCAGTGTTTAAAGGGATAGTTCACCCAAAAATGAAAATTCTTTGGTCCCCCAACAGTTTTGATGTTTTAATGACCTTCCTGGTCTCTGCATTAAAAAATATATATATACAAAATAAATATATACAAAAAAATTAAGAAAAATAACACATTGTTTTTACAATAAAATAGCTCCTGCTAGCAAAAGAATTTAGTATGAGTCCTTATACCAGACCTATCTTCCATCTTCTGATTTATGTGTTTTTTTCTGCTTTTTTCCCCTCTGTCCAGGCAACCCCTTACTGCCTCTATAATACTACTGTATATTAAGGTCTGGACTCTGTGCAGGCCATTTCATGACTGTTTTAGCTGTTTTTGTCGATAAATATATCATCAATATCTATAATCCTTCACATTTCCAGATCTGTTTGGGTTTTTTTCTTCTGTTGAACACAGAGGAGGATATACTGAAAGATGTTGCTATAAAAACAGCCATTGACTTCCGTAGTATTTTAGTTTTATTGGTTTTACTATGCATGTCAAAGGCTGCTTTTTTACAGCTTTCTTCGGATTATCTTGTTTTGTGTTCAATAGAAGAAAGACAAGCATAAAAGATACATAAAACTACTTGAGAGTATATTTGAATTTGGGGTGAACAATCTCTTTTAATAATACTTTTGACTATTATTGTACTTGCTTTGACCTAGTCTTTTTAAGTGCAAAAAAGATGTCTTGTGTGTCTGTGTGTGTGTGACTTAAAAAACTTGATTATAGCGTGTAATTTGGGCTATGAGTAACTTTGGAAGTCCCAAATATGTTTTTAATAACATTTCACAAAGCCACTGAAGGAATTATTCTCACTTTTTCTGTGTCCTACCAACAACTGTTGTGCTCACTTGCAAATAGTTTGTTTCCAAGAGAAGCTTTGGATTACTATGGACGTTTTTGGGGCCAAAAGTTTTTAAAATAAAGTTGTGAACTGGATCATGCTGTTTGACATTGTGTTTATAGTATACTGTTATGTTGACCTACATAAATAAACACATCTTGTTTTCATATATATGTGTCCCAATGTAAAATTTCATTGTTTTGATATGTTTGTTGACGCATTGGTACTTTAAATTATAAATGTGTTTCGTTTAAAGACTTTTTCCGACTTTCTACCTCCCTTTAAAACATTTTTATGCAAAGAAATGCCAAGATAAAAATTTTAGCTAAAGTGCAAAAGCTTTGAAATACATATTTTTGCCCCGTCTCATGTTTTTTTTTTTTTTTCATCAAATTCTATTGTTGGGTGAACCATCCCTTTAAAATGCATCAACTCATAGGGTTCACGCATCCATGTCCTGGCTTTTCTTTTCAAATTTAACTTTTGTAAGACGACAATTCTTTTCTGAACATTTCATTAAATTATTCAGCCTTTTATATTACAACATTATATTATTTAAGAAAAATCCCTCAACTCTCAACCCAAATATTGTATTATCTTCATATAAAAACGTGTATTTTTTTATATTATTACAGTAAGATCACATACTCAAAACTAAGTAGATATAGTGCAAATCATCAACATGATAGCTTACTTGCACTGTTAACATTACCTTGATTAAGCTTTAACTTAAGACTTAGCCTGAGAGTTCACCTGCCCCGGACCAGGCTAGTTTCCCAGCATAAGTTGCTAAAGTAACTGAGTTTGAACTATCGTAAATTTGATTTATGGAACTAAATTCACCATTAATACATCTGATTAACCAAAATAAGCCTGGCTTTTTCCTCTAAGCTTGGTTTATGGAAAAGGCCCCTGGTGAAGTATGCTGCCTGTATATACGTTTTGTTTAGATGTATGCTTGTTTGGATGTGTTGTACTCTGTACATCGAAAATGAGAAGGGGTCAAGGAGATATCCCATTTAATAATCGTAATAATTCTAAATATTTCTTTTCATGTGATGAGCGAGATTATTATATTATAAATTAATGAAATTATACTAAAATGACAACTCTAATGATGGCCAAAGACTTTTGTACAGTACTGTGTTTATGTTATCTATATATCTATATCTCTATATATAACATTTCTATTTATCTATCTATCTATCTATCTATCTATCTATCTATCTATCTATCTATCTATCTATCTATCTATCTATCTATCTATCTATCTATCTATCTATCTATCTATCTATCTATCTATATCTATATCTATATATATATATATATATATATAAAATACAGAACATAATGACTTTAACATTTTATTTTTACACAGAGTAGGTTTCTATTTTTACCTTTGGTCAAGTTACATGGAAGCACAATGAGCGAAAGAACATTTTATACAGAGTGCAAAGCAACTATGCAACATCAGCTTCCATGAATATTATGCCGAATCACCTCAACACTGCATTACAATCATGAAATGCTCAGTCATGTGCAGATCTCATTATAGGCATCGACCTTCAAGCAGGCCCTTTATGTGGCAAAGACAAGACGTCAACCGTGGCAGTGCAAAGCAAACTGACTCAGCAAACAAACCCTCGCTAACACAAAAACACCCCGTCAGTCAACAGAACATTTTTTTGGTCCAAAGTCAGCTGTCACCTTTTACACCCCACACCACGGTAAGTGCTTAAATCCTAAGGCTATTCGGTAGTGAAGTTCAGTGTGTTGTTGGCTGTGTTTGCGTTATTGCAGGCAGCGGTTTGGAGTGTCCCGGTAATGGAGTGGAGTTTTCGACTGGTTCTTTAGCCTCTGTAGATGAAGGCGGTTCCGCCACTGGACGGACAGGGTGTGTGTTTTGAGGGACGAATGCACTGGAGGCAGGGCCTTGGAAGGCATATTCTACAGGACTGGATGAGGCGTTTGGTTGCGATGATGTGGATTCATCACCAGGTGGCGCCGCTGAGGTCTGCTGCTCACTTCTCTCCTAGAACAAACATCGGAAAGACGTTAATGTAAGTCACTGCTTTAGGATAAATGTGTTTGAATTTATCAAAAAGGTGAGGGTGAATAAATAAATAAATATATATTTATATTTATTTATTTCACAGTACTCATAGGTTAGTGTTTTAACTCAAATAATGTGTCGCAATTGGTTTCCTCAAACGTTTTGAGTTACCTAAACTTAGAAATTAGCTTAAATTAGCTTTTACAGTATTTATTTATTAACTTATTTATTAATATATATATATATATATATATATATATATATATATATATATATATATATATATATATATATATATATATATATATATATATATATGTTACATTTGCCATCCAAAAGTAAAATGAGAGTTACAATATGTGTTGGGGGAGTTTATGAAATGTTCATTATCAGTGGCAAGGTAATTTTTTTATTCTAATGACTGAGAATGTAGTATGGTTTCAGGCAAATTTTTAGGCTAGAGGGCCACTGCTCTGCACAGTTTAGTTCCAACCCTAATTAAACACCTGATCAAACTAATTGTGTGCTCCTGGTTTGTTTGATATCTACAGATTGGTGTGTTGAAGCAGGGCTGAAACTAAACTCTGCTGTGCTGCAGCCCTCCAGAAATTAAGATTTACACCCCTGGGTTAGGGTATTACTAAAATCACAGAGACTAAATTGGTGATATAAATATGTTATGCACTGTGATAATTTAACGTGAGCAGCTGATCTTTCCAAATCTGCTGTCAACAAAGGTGAAGCATTAAAATAATAATAATAATATAATCATTGCTATTATACCTGCTTTACATTGCTTATTATATTAACATTCATTAATTTTCTTTCAGCTTAGTCCCTTTATTCATATAATAATACTGTAATTCCTGTTTTAGTAAAGGCAGTGTAAATAAACAGTTCTTATCAAGATAATAAACTACTTTTTATTAAATATTATAGTGTTTTTGAACCATACATATAGTACAGTATATTACACTAAAATAAACCCTACATTTGTTAACTATGTTATTGGGCAGATTGTTTATATTGCTACTGTTATAGATCTGCTATAGAATTACCACAACAGGCTAACTCAAGTACTTTACTATAGTGTGGTTCAACAGCAATATAGTATTTACTATTTATTATGTGTTTTTCATGTGTCACATTCAATCATACATTTTCTTTTCGGCTTAGTCCCTTCATTAATCAGGGGTCGCTACAGCACAATGAACCGCCAACTTATACAGCATATATTTTATGCAGCGCATGCCCTTCCAGCTGCAACCCATCCCTGGAAACACTCATACACATTCATTCACACACACATAAACTACAGACAGTTGAGCTTATTAACTTCACCTATACACTGTCAAACCCAAAAAGTTAAGGTAACTCAAACCGTTTGAGAAAACTGTTTGCAAAAAAACATTTAAGTTCAAAAACTAATCCTAATCAGTACTGTGTGTGAACTTACTCCATTTGAGTAAACAAAGCAATTTGAGCACAGTAAAACCCTATAAATGAAGAGAACTCAAACCAACTGAGCACTGTAAAAGCTAATAAGTTAAGGCAACTCAAAACATTTGAGGAAACCAATTGCGACAAATTATTTGAGTTAAAACACTAACCTATGAGTACTGTGAACTTACTTCATTTACGTTGAAGTTTTGAGGTATTTAATGAACACCTTCAACACTGGAGTTCAAAACTCTTTTCAAATGAGTAGAATTAACTTTCAGTACATTTTAAGTTCACTACACTCATTTCATTTGATTAAGTTGACTAATGGCTTTTAAAGTGTAGCACATGTCTTTGGACTGTGGGGAAAACCGCAGCACCAGGAGGAAACCCACGCGAACACAGGGAGAACATACAAACTACACACAGAAATGCCAAATGACCCAGTCGAGGCTCGAACCAGCGACCTTCTTGCTGTGAGGCAAACATGCTACCCACTGTGCCACCGTGCAGCCCCATGTGTCACATTATTATTTAATATTTGTAACGTATTTTTTCAATCAAAATGTAAAAAAAAATCTGTAAAATTTTGGAACTGAAATATGACTTAGGACTTGATTAGGAGTCTTACACTGCCAGGCCATTTGCAGCCCCTGGCTCGTGCTGCTCTCAACTCCGCCCACACTCGTCAGTGCTACCAAGCCGACCAATCACAGTGTTTGTGCTATGCGTCGATGCGACTTGTAGTTAAATTTTTTTTGAGAAGTGCGCGTCAACGTCGCCGACAGCCACGCTGTCCGCGTGTAGGCTGCGCCGTAGCATACGTGTACGCTTGATGCAGAAGTATAAATCAGCCTTTACTTTTGGCTTCTCTCGGTGTGCGGTCAAGAGTAACTTGAATATTTCTGGGGCTGATGTAAACGTTGACATATGTTCATAAGTGCTCTATTTTTACTAAAGCTGTATTTTTGAAAATATTCAAGGGTCATTTTATTATAATGTATTGTGTATTTTGTTGTACAAACATGTATAACAGTTTAGTTGTTGTTAGGACAGATAGATGACAAATATCTTGATCATTTGTTACCTTCATGGGGCCAATGCATAAAAAGCAGGGTGTCCACATAACAAACAAACAGCATTTACTGACAATTAGCATTTGATCACAAATATAAACACACATAAAGAGCATGTAATTAAAGCCGTGACATCAGAAATTTTAAGAAATGTGTTTAACTAAAGACAAATAAAATAGACAACAGAAAAGTGTTTTTCTTTGGTTAGTGAATAGCAAAGTGGTGTTCGTGAGACTTGTGTATATTTTCCAAGAATACACAGAAGATAAAAAAGGAAATGCAGTGTGAGACTGACAAGACAGCATGCGCTTTTGTGCATAAAAGTCAAAGACAGATGTTTATTCCTCACCTTTCCCCTGAGAGAAGGACAGCATGAATGAAACAGGGACAGAGACAGAGATGATTATTCAGTTAAAAGACAGAAAATATGATTTGGCATTAATGTTTTTCATTATCCGCTTGTTAAGTCTGACATCACGAGTTACAGTTTCCGGGACCAAGCACTCAATCAGATGACAAGTCAAATATTTGATATCTGGAATGTTTTTTTTTTCAATGATATTGAATGATGCTCATGTAGTCACTTGTAGCATCTCATGTAT